TGATTTTTTTCCTTTTTCCTAAATTACCTTTTATTTTTATTAAAGATTTAATATATAAGAACTGAGGTCCAAGCCAGAGGTGTGGGAGGTGAGAGGATTCCAGAGACAGAGTGTGAAACAGAACAGGTGGATTGACTGAAATACACTGCTGAGGGGACAGTGGGAGGGGCAAGAGAGCCCTGCTGTGCCATGTGGGTCACCTCCCTGGCCAGGTATTGAACTCATGCTGCAGTAGCTGTGGATAGCTTCATAGTGCTGTGCTTTAACTCCTTGTGTCACCAAGGAGGGCCCTTTCTCTAAATTATTTTAAAGCTAAATTTTAGTCATATTTAGTAGTATATTTTAAAATAGCTCCCTTTATGCAAAAATTTTAGGGCATGCCTAATTCTTAAGAATTTACAAAAGAACACCTCTAATTCAATAATATCTGCTATAGAATAGGCAATATGCAGGTGCAAGGAGTACACAAGATGTGTGCTCTTAAAGTAGACCTTTCAGGTATGGTAAAAAGGAAAACCCACATGTACCATGGTTGAATTTGATTAGTCCAATAATAGAGGAACATGATATGAAGAGCCACAAAAAAAGATAATAAAGTGTTGTTAGATATGCAGGAAAAGAAAAACAATTATATAGAAGGATGAGCATATGTAAAAGTGAAGATGTGAAAGACACTTTAGCTGGGAGATAGAATGCATGAGAGGGTGAGAAAGAGATGAAACTTGGTGTTTTATATCAGTATCTCTGTAGAGCATTGAAGAGTTTTAAGACTGGTTTGTTGTTGAAGTGTAGGAGACACATGGTGGTGGATTGAAAAAGAGGTTTAACATGATCTTACTACTTTAGTAAGATCAGTGAGGTAGTAGAATAAATATTTGGGGGATGGGTGGTTGAAAGTGGAGTCAAAGAGACCAGATAGTTTTAAGAAATTCTTTCAGTAGAGGGTTTTATATTTAAAGGTAGAAACAGTGAGAATAAAACAGATGTATTTGTGAGGGTTGGTGAGAGAAGAGAATGGAGAGGGGACATTCATTTTAAATGATAT